TGGACACACAGAAATTAAAAAGACAAAAATATTATACAAAGTCAGTTTCATTTGAACCCTCCACCATTAATAAATCAAAGCCAATGTAGGTGCATAAGGTTAGACTATTACCTTGCTTAAGATCGAAATCCACCCTTTGAAGAGTTCAAATATTTCCGACGAACCCCATATTAGCGACGAACGTCCAGTCCACAACAACAGTTTACCATAGCGAAAATACGACGACAAGAGAACAAAATAACGCAAAAGGTTAGATTCGAGAAAAAAATGAAATCTATTGAAACTTTGAGGAAGAAAAATCCGTACCTTTTGAAATTCGTCTCAAGTCGCCTGCGATGGAAGGACCATGGAAACCCTAGGTTTTCTTGCGAGAGAGCAGTAATGAAGTGGAACGACCAGATTTTAGTATTTATATAAAGGGCATTTCGGTAAAAAAGAAAGAGGCACTTAATATTGGGATAATGTATCACACACTAGGGGAGGGATGTGTAATCCAACAATTTGTTTATAATGTGGCCGGGCCTAAGCAATATAAAGGGCTTTCCATTATGCAACCATTATGGAAATAATAACAAAGTGCTAGATATCAAGCCCAATAAGTCCAACCAAACTGACCCTAAAGATAGTATCGTTGGATATTCTAATTATAAACATTATTATTTTTTTTATCTATGTTATGATGATGTATGCACTTTGAGGTTGTATCTGATGAAAAAACATGTGTTGCTGGATCTGTGGGGAATGGGACTTATTTTTAATTCATTTTATACTACATATTAATTGGATTTATAACCTTTTTTTAATGCCATAATAATATAAATAAATGAAGCTCGAAGGTAAATAGTGAAACCAATCATGCAACATGACCAAGAAAGCTCGACATTAAACTGAATAATTGTATATTTGCAATACAACCAATGCCCCCTACTTCAAGAGGTCCTATTTACTTTCACTTTCACTTGTAATTCCCTCAACTGCGCTACCATTCTGTGTACTGTATCCAATCGTGGCACCTGCGAGCTCGCTAATCTTTTGGGCATCGACTCAGATATCATCGACCAAATTCATTTTCAGAGACTCTTTACCGACCATCTCGAAGAGAAGTTTATATTTTAAAATTGGAAACCTTTTTGTTCAGTTAAGGTGACGCCAATTTGATGTACCTAACTATGATGGATTTAAATTTGTAAGCTGCAAATGCCTTGAACCGACCTCCAGAAACTTGCAAATTCGTGGAACCGACTTCCTGGCATAAACACTCCGATGCTCAAATTAGTTATTTGATATATCTGAGTAAGTATTATGTGTCTTAGAGATTTTATCTTTGATCTTCACACTAAATTTATAGGCGGAATTATTAATTCCTATTCCTTAATTATTTAGATATGATATCTATTTGTATCTAGATCAGTACAGAAAGATTTGATGTATCTTCTTTTCTAGTTGGAGAAAAACTTCTTTCCTTATAATGTTTAACATCGATATGCTTTTGGTGCTCTTCCAACTCGATAGTGGTCAGGTGGCTTAGATACCTTTCCATCCTTAGCTCGTACCCCGCTATCTAATGCTCATTTGACCTTTTAGGAATTACTTATTTGTCCATCTCGAGCTGCACAGAACCGGGACCCAGCTAATTATGGGGTCGGACCAGCGAGCCTATACCACATACCATGGAGGTATTTATACTTGAGGGCTGGGGTGAATTTGATACGACAAGTGTTTTTGGATCGTTGAATTATTATTGGGAAGAAAGGTATGTTGGAGTATACAGTAAAAGCTCGACTTTGTATTACTCCCAGTTTCATTTTGAATGAGATTCATGTTTTTAGTCATGTGAATGTTCATAGTTTATTTAGTCATACGAATATAGTTCTCTATTTACATCGTAGTTCTTATGGTTCGATGTGTCGGACAGAAAGATCATATCATCAATTCTTTGTAAATATAAATGTTTGTTCACAGCCCAGATAAAATTGAACTAACTACCGTGAAAGTCTCTATTGTGATTTTTGAGTTAGTTGGTCTTTCACTAACGAATTACACTAGTACGTCTCAGATGTATTGAACGGGGCCTACGGGAGGATAAGATTATTTTATACTCACTAAGTAAATAATCTAGACCCAAGTAATTGCTGCATTCTCTTAACACGTAAGACAATAAACGAGCATATGAATTTGGCTATTATTTATTTGATTTACCAAGGGCGAGACTTATTCTGTTAGGTCGACAGACTCCGTACTTTGGTAAATAATTCCGATTACATGATGTGTCATTGATATCGTTTACGGTCATCATGTCCCGGTGTACTGGGTTGACGACATCTCTGAAATGAGCTCAAAAAGGATTACTATGTCAAACCTGGGCGACAGATTAATTTTTGACACAATAATAAAGAATAAACTGGTACTAATTTTAAATCAAGAAGTTGATTAATTATATTGTTAATAATTAGTTTAATCAACGAACGTTAAATCTTAAACATGAAGAGGTAAATCTAGTAATTAGTCGGGAGGCAAATTAATTGTAATTCGGGAGTTAAATGCGGAGTTCAGTAATATTTCTATAGCGAAATGAATACTATTCAAGTATGAATCGAGTGGGCCAAGCTTACATTTGAATTCATACTTGAGAGTCATATTTAGCACCTCTTTATGGTCCCTGTTGTAGCCTATAAATACACCAAGTCTTTTAGCCTCCAAGGAGATTCTACACGTGAGAAATTAGATTTCTCTTCTCAGAAAATTCAGCCAAAAGCTGAAAGGTCAAAAAAGAGAAAATTGTGAGGCTTTGAGAGATCCGACGAGGCACCCACCAAGATAACTCAGAGTGGTGATCAGTCGTACAACAGAAGATTCTAAGGTAGTTTGTTCGTTGTATCCCAACGAATATATATACATATATATATATATATCACCACGACACATCCCGAGGCCACCGAACTTGGCAGCTCCGACCACAGCAAATCACCGCATGCGGCAGTGCACCTAACGAAGGTAGGCTCACCATTCGGCGAGGCGGCCGACAACCAACGCGCGACCAGCCCAACAACATTGCGAGACCAGCCCTGCAACAGCCTCGGCGACCACCATATCACCACATGTGGCAGCGCAAGGCGACGCGCACCCAAGCACCACCACGACGCGACTTGCCGCGCGATCGACGACGCACGATGTGTCGGGCAACAAGGCGACGCACATCACCCACGCACAGAGACACATCGCAACAGCCCCAACCACGCTCGCTGATGCATCACAGCAGCCCGACCACGCACTATGACGCTGATAAGGATCGTGTACTTCCCTAACTCGATTTTCTTTGAACCCGCGGCAACCGCCTTGATTCTCCGCGATAGATGCTTCCAAACCCATGCCGATGCCTTGATTTCTAAGTGATAGGTTTCTAATACACGCAGCGACTCCTTCGTACTTCAAGATAGGATGTGAAAAGCTTGGATTTTGATATTCCAGCTTAATAAGCTACTTCTCACTGCTTCCATGAGAAGTGTTATGAATTTTTACTCCTTTTATACCGCTTGTTAAAGTAAGTGATGTCTAAGGGCTCCGTGTTTCTTACACAACACTTATCTAAAAAAGCATTATGTCAGAAGTGTTATTTATTTTTTCCTTTTATAGCGCTTGTTAAAGTAAGTGATGTCTAAGGGCTTCGTGTTTCTTACACAACATTTATCTAAAAAAGCATTATGTCAGAAGTGTTATCTATTTTTTTTTTCCTTTGACGTAGTGATACCCCTCACCATTTCTAACGTAAAGTCGTTCTTTATCTTGGTTCATACATGAGTAAATAGTTTACCATTATGTTATTCATTTTCACTCATGATCAAAGTTATAAAATGTGATATTTCATTATTGAACTTATGATTTTAATGCAATATCCATAAATAATATTTTATTTGCATCTTTGCATGTCTATAGGATTGAGCAGTTCTATTTGGCTTAATTTATGCAAATTAGTTTAATTATTTTTTGAATCATTTATTTTTTTCCTTATAAAATATTATACTTCAATGAAAAATGAAGAAAAATATTTTCCCCAAAGTTGTCTCTCACTTAAAATATGCCAATTCCTAAATAAGTACATAATTTGAATAATATGTATCTGCAAAAGAAGATTGAATAATACATAATAACCGCAAGGAGATTAATGGTTTGAGTGGTTGCAGAATTGAGGCGAGGTTGGCATTTGGCAATGCAATTTGTTAGAAGCAGCCAACCCAACTTTATAACACAAACGGAGAGCATGTGAATATATATCATATCATATCCCCAACCAAATTAAAGGGAGAAGCAGCATGTGAATAAACACAAACATCACTATTCTCTATTTCCTCTACTCAATCTAGCTGTAAATAAAATAAATATATATGAGACTAGAGAAAGATAGGAAAAAGATATTTTTTATAATGATTGGGAAAATAGAGTCAAACTAGCTAAAGTTATATTCTATAGAATTGTGAAGAATGTTAATTGAGCCCAATCACTAAATTACATAATAAATCATGTGTGATTAGATTAGGCTTCTTCTAGACAGACTTAACGATTAAATCACGATACTTTTTCAATAGACATATTTGTATAATGATGTATACGAATATGACATTTCAAAGTATAAATATAAATAAATAAATTATCGCATATCGACCCGCCTAATGATTAGAACGTTGTATTATGATGTGTGTTAGATGATTTATTCTGTTATTTCATTGTTCCCACTCAAACACTTGTCTAATGAGCGTTTGACTTTGAATAAATTAATTTGAATGAGAAGTGTTGAAATATTTGAAAACTATTTCAGAAAAAACATTAAAGACCATTGGAGCTCTCCCTCTTGGAAGACCATTAGAGCTCAGCTCTGGATTGAGAATCGCCTCTTCCTTATACATTATTTTGATTTTAGTAATATCATTAATTTGACATCTCGAGTATACTCTTAGTATACTTTTTTTTTTTTCATTTTTAATTATTAATATATTTATCATTTGAAAAACAAAATCAAAAAAAANTACACATACTTGTTTGTGGCACACATTTGTTGGTGTTGCATGGAAATGGGGTTTGGTAGTAACAATGTGGATGTAATGAAGAAAAGAACAATGAGATGGGTATTGTCCATTTGGAGGACGATTTATGAGGTGGGGCAACAAGACCAAAGACGGGTTATCCATGCACTCAAAGTAGGGCTTTCACTCACATTGGTTTCGCTCTTGTATCTCATGGAGCCTTTGTTCAAAGGTATCGGTCAGAATGCAATCTGGGCTGTCATCACCGTTGTCCTAGTGCTTGACTTCACTGCTGGTGTGCTGCCTATAATTTACCTACCTAATTAAGTCAATTTGTGTTTGATTTTAATTTTTGTCATATATGATATCATCAATCATTTGTATATTAGGGGCAACACTTTGCAAAGGCTTTAATAGAGGGCTTGGCACATTGCTAGCTGGATCACTTGCTTTTCTCATGGACTTCATCGCTCAAGAATCCGGTCGGGTTTTCCAAGCTATTTTCATTGGGATTGCAGTTTTCGCTATCGGTATGTAAGAAAAAATCTAAGGAGTACAAATGTTGGCTAAATTTCCTTTTTTAGTACACTATGTTGGTCATTTTCCGAAAAAGGTTCATCATATAATGTGTTATCAAGAATGGTCCACTAAGTATTGCCGCTTTTCATCAAAACTCGTACAATAGCCAACATAATGTAGTAAAATTGACAATCACTTTCAGTACACTATGTTGGTTCTTGTATGAATTTTGATTAAAGTGGCAACTTAGTGGACCATTTTTAAAATTTTGCCTACAAATGTTAACCGATATATAGCTAGCTATACGATTTAAGTATCACGTACATGAATAATATATATAAATTTATTTATAGCAATAGAATAAGTGTATGATTTTGATTGAGCTGAGATCCTTTTGTTTCTATTTTTGTTTGTGATGAAATACAGGAGCGGCAGCTACATACATTAGATTTGTCCCTTACATAAAGAAACATTATGACTACGGAGTAGTGATTTTCCTGGTGACCTTCAATTTGATTACTGTTAGCAGTTATCGTGTCCACAACGTGCTTCAGATAGCACACACTCGCTTATACACTGTAGCCATAGGCTGTGCAATTTGTCTCGTCATGAGCTTATTTATATTCCCCAATTGGTCGGGACAACATCTCCATAATTCTTCCATCTCTAAGCTTGAGGGATTGGCATACTCCATACAAGGTATCATTATATGAACAATTACTTTACATATTTACTGTTTTCATCAAACTCATTCATCATGGCTGTAATCCGAAATAGCTAGTTTTCATGCCTTTATAGACAAAACATGTTTAATTTTTGAATCTCAAACTCAAACTATAGATTTTCTGAATCTTTCTTTGTCTACTCTTCTTCTCATTTTATTTCTTTCTAGCTAATATATATAGTTATTTCATAATTGTAAGAGAGGCTTATATCTTGTAGTAATGGATATGCAGCTTGTGTGAATGAATACTTCAGCAATGAAGAGCAGAAGGTGGACAAAGATGAATCATCGGAAGATCAAATCTACAAGGGCTATAAGAGTGTTCTGGATTCAAAATCAACAGATGAGACCTTGGTATGCATGTATATGTTATTTATTACACAAACACATGTACAGGCGATCAAAGTTATTAGTTGTGTTAATAAGTACATATTTATTTAATTTGGTGGATGGATTAGGCACTGCATGCAAGTTGGGAGCCATGCCATTCAAGCCAGTGTTACAGAGTCCCCTGGCAGCAGTATGTCAAGTTAGGAGATGTTATTCGCCATTTTGGCTATACCATTGTCTCTCTACATGGATGTCTTCAAACTCAAATTCAGGTTTATTCCAAATTAATTTGCATTTTAACAATATCCTAAATCTTATTTTGTCCTTCACCTATATCTATATCTATATATAGATATTAATGTTGTTTAGTTTTTCCTGTCCTAACACTTGTTGGGTATGTATACTTTGGTGGAATTAATTACTTACATTTCTCGCATGATTTTATTAATTATAGGTTTCAAACTTACGGCTATAATCACTATTGTTTTTATGTGTTATTATTTATCAAATAAATTGAATGGTGCAGCATGAATCTTAGAAAAAAATATCAAAATCAATCTCGTAATTAATTATAGGGGTGTTTAAATATTATTGGTCTTATTGGAATCAAGTTTCTCAAAACTAGTCTCATATCTTTTTTATTCAATAAAAAATAGAACAATTGTAGAAAAAAATTCAAAATCCGGCCCGAAAAAGACACGTTAAATCATACATCTTGGTCATTTATCTCATGCGCGGCGGTTGATATGACAAAATATCAAAATTATTTACATAATTATAGAGATGTTTCAACATTGAAAGAAAAACCAATTTTTCATAACCAATTTTTTTTTTCTATTTTAACATAATTGAAAGAAAAAAATATTTCAATCTTATTATTAATATTTACACAATCTTTATAAATATTTTCATAATATCTTAGTCGAAATACTTAATTTTTATAAATAAATAGTATTTACCATGATATTAAGGAAATTTTATAAAATGTTATTAGGAGTATTTTCACGAAGTTATATTTTAAATATTAAAAAATATTTATTGTTTTTAAACACATGCTAATATACGAGTATTTTGGTATTCATATTTTGTATTTTGGTACTCATTTATAAAAATACCATGGTATGTAAAATGAAGAATCCCGACAAGAAACAATATTTATTGCATTATATTATAAGAGTTAAGACAAACTTTTTATTATCTGTGACTTAATATAACTAGTGCAGAGCCCGTGCGATGCACGAGATGCACAATTTTAAGGTTATTTATCTAGGTTTATATAATTATATACACGAATAAAGAAAAATATACGAGATATATATAGTATGTGATCCGTGCGAGACATGGGATATATTTATTTGTGGAATATTATGTTATAAGATGCAATATTGAATAAAAGTTTTATAAGACAATGGCTCAATATTTTGAGATTTTTAATTGGTAGAGTAAAATTAATATCTGTAAGATTCTTAAGAAAAAATCTTGATATACGGAAATCACATTATATGTAGAGGAATAAATCAGATCAGATTTTTCATACAATTAGATAAGATTTTTTGTACAACGATAAGAAGGACTTTTAAATCTACACAAACTATAAATATTAGATGTATTGATTAACGTAAATCAATATCTATATAGACAACCAAACCAGGCTTGACATCTGATTTATTTTTGGTAAAATCAAGATTTTATCTTCCGATCAAATTTGTCTTTTTTTGTTTTACATACATTCTTTTGTTGTACCGATTTTATGAGAAAAAATAATTAAATAAAAATTAATTGATGAAAATAGAATGCATTAATTACCTTTGACTTTACTTCTTACTAATTCTAGTAAATGGGATGACTCTGTATATAAGTATAGATGTTATTTTGATATGCATCACCATAATTGTATTTGTTTTTCTTTTCTCTATCATCTTTTCATTTATTTTTGTTTATGTGTGTGTGTGTGGGGCAAATGCATAAAGTACACAAATACTTTTTTTTTCATTAATCATTATTTTATGTGTATAAAAATGGTTATGTCAATTTTATTGTAAGGTTTGTAGCATCTGCAAAAATATTTTTTAATTACATAATTCTTATTTGTATTATTGTTAAATTGAAGTTTATTTTTAAAATATCCTAATTCTAATTCTAAAAATGTTTAAAATATTTGAAAATGTCTTTAAAATTACTATTCATCTTTAAGATTTAAATATTTCAGCTATGATTATGTGAAAAGATTATTAAAAATTGTATAAACCTTAACAATAAGAAAAAAAAATGTGATTTTCTTAACGAGACCAATATTGAACATCTCTATTATAAGGTTATCTTATGGGACTAATTTAATATTTTGTCATGTCCACCGCCATGTAGGAGATAATAAAATAAATGGTCAAATTGTACATAAACAATTACCAATATCTTATTCTTAATTAACTCGTCTCTTGTTGGTCCAATCAAGCAGACTCCGAAATCCATACGCGCCCTCTTCAAAGACCCGTGCACCCGAGTGGCAGCCGAACTACACAAGGCACTCGTGGAGCTAGCCCGCAGCATAAGGGACCAGCGGCAGTGCTCCCCCGCAATCCTCTCAGACCATCTCCACCAAGCTTTGCAGGACCTCGATGCTGCTCTCAAGTCCCAACCCCGTCTTTCCCTCCTATCCTCCAACAACACACTGTCATCAACCCTCCACACCGTTAAGAGTGACGAGGGGAAATCGGGAATATTACGGCCGACACAGAGTAAGAATATTGAGATAATTATGAGCTTGGAGTTTTCGGAGGCCCTCCCATTTGCGGCGTTTGCGTCTTTGCTAGTGGAGGCAGTGGCAAGGCTGGAGCTGGTGATTGAGGAGGTGGAGGAGCTCGGGAGGGTCGCCAATTTCCGTGAGTTTTATAAGGATCGTGATCGTGCAGATGGCGTCAAGGTTAATGATCACTTGCCGCCTCATGAGGCAGCAGATTGTTGATTTTCTTGAAATTAAGGTATGGAATTCATGGGGATTGTCTGTACTTTGGTTGGGAATGGAATTTCATAAATTTGTTGGATACGCATATGGACATGCATTTGATCGTTCTATGTATTTCATCTTATACTTATTACATCGTTGTTCCATTATCATTATATTAATTGATAATATTAATGACAGTTTTGCTATGGAGTCATTGGATGACTCAGCTTATGAAGCCATCTACACTTATTCACCAATAATGTATTGACACGTGTCCCGCAATAAATACACTTTGAACATGTGTCAATATATAAGTGGTGGATGACTCCATAAGAAAACCATTCGATGGCTCCATAGAATTTTTAATATTAATAATGCTTAGACTTATTTTTTTATGGCTAAACTTACTCTATGGAAGTCTAATAAATAGAACATGTCTAGAGCTGCAGAAACCATAGTTTTTAAAACTGGACCGGTCATCGAATCGGTGAAAACTACCGGTTCAAGGGTTCAATGGTTGGACTAGTGGTCAAACCGGTCGAACCGGTTTTATTAATATATAATTTTTTATTTGTTTTATATGTATAATATATAACTGTATATATTTTTATTATTAATTTTATAGTGTATAATGACATTTTTTTAAATAAGAGTCCACTAATAGATATAACCGACAATGTTGCTAACGTTGACAAATTCTTTTCATTTTATTATTTATATTGTAATATATATTTAAGTTACATAATAGATAATAAATTTGCATTTTTATTTTTAAATTAGACTTTAAGTTTTTTATTATTTTTAGTTTTGGGCTTTTTTGGTTTTGATAATTTTGGACTCCAAAGTCCAATCCTCAAAATTAATTTGATTTTTTTTTTTATGAAATTAAAGTAATTTATAAAATTAACCTCATATTGTAAAATTTATTTAACTATCTAAATTGGGCCCTTGAGTACAAATCATTCACATTTTGTAGAATTATAAATTAGTCAAAAGTAATAATATAAGCCCAAGTCCAAAATCAACTTATAAGCCCAAGTCCAAAACAAGAAGCAAGCAAAAAGATGATGTACTATGATACTATCCCACATGAAAAGCACAAGGAAAAAGGGAATGCTATATAAATGATAGCTTTAGCTTTCCTTTGCAAAGCTTAACATTGGACCGGTTAGCCCGCAAAACCGGCGCCGGTTTACTTGTTGAACCGGTTTGGACGATTTTTGACCAGTTTTGGTCATAAGAGGTTTACTACCTCAAACAGGTAAACCTCAAACTGGACCGGTGTGAGGGTCGGTTCCCGGTTGAACCGGTCGAACCAGTCGGTCCGGTCCGGTTTTGACAACTATGGCAGAAACATACTACACATTTCATCTGGTCACTCAACTCTGAAACCCTACACATTTCAGACCGGTTTTGACAACTATGGCAGAAACATACTACACATTTCATCTGGTCACTCAACTCTGAAACCCTACACATTTCATGTACATAATTCTGCTCTGTTGTTATTCCTTCAAGTTAATCGGAGCTCAAAAGTCTTAAATACTGCTTCTGAGATGAAGCCATTGTATTTTTAGAGACGAGACGCCTTAATCGGTCAACACATTATGGCATGTATTTGTCTTACGGAAAAAAGCAACTCATCTCAGCTTATTTTCTTCCCTCATCAAGTTCCTTTATAATTTTATTTCAGTTTGTAATTCTTTTATAAGTATTAGAATATCACTTGTTAGTTGTTCTACATTGTTTATATAAGGAAAATGGGCCTAGTTTATAAGCCCAGTGGGCTACTCCTCTCATAACCAATTGGTTTTGGAATAGAACCTCACTCTCACCCTCTTATGGTGCGATTCACGTGCATGAGACTACACCTATTTACCCCGATTCTTTCATGATATCAGATCGGGCCTGACCTAGGACCTGCGATGACGTACTCTTTACCCGGCCTGCTCTGTGGGCTTTGGCTTTGTATGAATGACACACAAGTCAGTGGACGTATTAGAATATCACTTACGAGTTATCTCGCATCCCTTCTCTAAGGAAAATGAGTCTAATTTATAAGCCTAGTAGGTTACTCTTCCAATAACCAATTGGTTTTGGGATGAAACTTTACTAAGGTGCACTAAGCTCACCCTCTTATGGTGCTTCACATGCATGGGACTGCACTTGTTTCCCCCCAATTCTTTCAGTAAGAACCAGTGTTCTAGAATTCCCTAGGCAACCAGAGGACCTACGAAATTAAGAATAAATACTTTATTTTTTTATTTATTTTCAAAACCTATAAAATAAAATTATCCCAAGTAATAATAAATCCACACACCTAAGTCCAAATAAGAATATTAATATATTATAAACAAAACATGATAACAAAATAATATAATTGGTATGTAACAAAAAAAAAACTGAAAAATCACCGCCGAGCCCGCCTAGGTGCCATTTGACCGATTATTTCAGCTGATTAATGCAAATCAGAGGCAGTCGGGCGGCGCGTAGCGCCTATATTTAGTACAATGGTAAGAACTGAACTCTTTAATTCATCGGATTCTTGTGTAATAATTTTGTACAACTGTTGCATACTTTTGTGAATCTATTTGTATAATCCAAGCTAGTACATATGAGTAAGACTGTGACTAAGAAATTGTTAAAATATATGTGTGTAATTACTTTTTAATGATAAAACATATTACAGAAGGTGTATGAAAATTACAAAGGAATTTCTATGGGTTGAAATGTTTTAGTTTTTTAGTCATACACATTTATATGTTGGTATTGTTTCTAGAGTTACAAATCCCTATTTCTAATGATTATTATTAGTGATGGTGATAGTGCACACAGTTCATTTACCAAATCCCTATTTCTGATGATTATTATTATTATTATTTATCGTTATATTTCTAATGATTATTATTAGTGATGGTGATAGTGCACACAGTTCATTTACCACTATTGCTATATTTATTAAAGTATGACGAGCTATTCAATCTGCAGTAACAACACTACACGAAGAATAGATTCCAGTAAACAGCGGATCCATTTTCTAAATGTAATAATCAAAATTTTAATCTACCATTTATTATTATCTCTATACATGTTTTTTCACATATTTTCCTGTTCCATTTAAATTATAAATCATCCATATCATTTCTAACACAAAGCCTCGCGCCCGGGTGAATCCGATAGGTAGGAGACACCTATCCTGCGGGTGTAGTATGTTTCTACCATTTAAATGTGTAGTATGTTTCGATCCGCAGACACCCGAACTAATACAATGGGAGACACCCGAACTAATATTTCATAAGATATTGATGACTTTAGGGGCATTTATCGTGGTCTTTCACACTAATGGTAGGAACTAATACCTAGGCCCGTATCGTGTAAACACCCTAACTGGAAAGCACAGTATCGAAGGTCGACATCTTACTTTGCTCTCAAGGCCTCACGCCATAGACTTTCCCTTCCCAGGAGTTCCTGCCCTGCCACTCGCTCGCCCACCTGGGTTCGCCTCGTTCCCTTAAGAGTTGAATGCAGGTTATTCTCGCCTTCTATAATAGCAGTAAATACAAAAATATTAGGTCAGGCGTGAGCCGCTACGTCGAAATCCATCATGGGAGGAAGACAGCCTCAAAGTCCACAGGCATATCTCGAACTCCGCAAAAGAGCATATCGATTTCAGGGGTCGCATGTGGATCCCTTGCTATCAGTTCTTCCAGCATAACTTCTTATCGAGGAGTAGCACGCACTTCTTCTTTATCCAAAAACTCTCGTCTCAAGGTACTTCCACCATCTCGTCGATTCCATAGCAAGTCCCCAGGTCCGTTTACGCGGGTCAGGTCGAGCATAGCACAACTCCACTAATGGTCTTACTAAATAGGTGACAATCGATGCTACTCGAACCCGAAAGACTCAAGCCCGCTTTGCAAAAGCCTATTAGCCTATGCCATCCCCACTCTATATATGCAAGGATTGGACCTACTAGATCATCCATTGATTTACATCTTTCGTCATTGCCTTCGCGGTCCATGTTATGATCTCCCTCCAGCAGTTCACCCAAGCTTGTATTCTTCTTCCACTCCTGCACCCAACGAACGAAGCGAAGCGAAGTGAAGTCATAGAATAAAGAAGAGAGGCCCTTTTCCTCGTTTGTCAACGAACTCATCTGATACATTGGCACAATTGGCATTGGTTTTTCGCTTTTTTGTCTAGATCCTCAGCTTCAGTACTACTTGGTTGTCTATGGCCTCAAGGTGAAATACAAGGCTTGAGTACGCGTGTTTAGCGTGCTCTATAGTTAAGGTCCTCTTCTCTTCTTGTTTAGTACGTGTCTTGGGTGAAGAGTGGAGTTATTCTCTTCTTTCTCGAAATTACGTATATTATATAAGGGATGAGACCCTAGCTCACCGGCTCTTTAGCACCAGCAAACTACTGCAAAAGCGGCAAAGCCAAAGGCAGATCTCGAAATCAGTCGTAGATCGCATAGCCATTGCCCGTAAAGGTCCCGGTAGCGCGTAGCAGGTGGAACTCATGCAACTATTATTTTATTTATTGGAAGGCAGAAGGGAGAGTAAAAGTCACTAAAGACCGGTTGGCAGGTCCTTGCGAGTGATTAGACTTTCGACATGAAACTGAAGCGGCCATTCAGTCCGTATTCTCTTTTTTAGCCCGGCTCGGGCACACATATCGTCTGACTTCCACCGGTAGTGCCTTTGGATAGAGGTTTTACTCCACCTTTCTCGGCGGAGATTCTTCTTTTCTTTAAGCTTTAAGAAAGGGTCTGGTTAGCCAGAAAGCTACGACTATGTATTGTGGGAAAGCTGTCCTCGCGCCAATCTCCATGGGAGCCCCTCTTATAGTATAGGTAGTATAGGCTTTCTCTCGCTACAGGAACATGTCCGCCCGGTGTCTACCTTGGGATTGATTAGTCTTACCTAATCGGGAATCGATCTAGTCACAATTCTCCTGCATTAGCCTATTTGATCTATCAATCATAAGACGAGACCAGATTCTCATGGGTGGTAGGATCCTTATTTGGATTGGAATAAAGTATAGTTAAAGGGCATTCTTTCAGCATATGCAAAAAACGATGTTACAAGGTCATAAACCAAAGGATCTATACCATGTCTTGTATCTGATTCCGGGGTTTCTTAGTCGAAAGGAAGGGTTCCAAGGGCAGCTTCAGTCTTTGATCAGCGGGGCGATGCCCAACCTATTTCCGAGAGAAAATGGATCCATTGCATACCGGCCTAGTGTATAGGGACTCATCAATAATGATGAGGATGGGGTCGGTCCGGTTGAATACGTAGTCCAAAAGACTATTCCCGATTAGGTGTACCTTGAATACGTAGTCCAAAAGACTTTAGGTGTACCTTGCATACTACAAAAGACACAAAGCCTCGCGCCCGGGTGTCTCCTAGCGCGGATTCAACCCGTTTTAGGGGGCCTATTTGTCACTCTTAGAAAGGTGCACCTAAATTCTACAGATCAAGGTCCCCGCAGAGAGAAAGACAGGCTTAGTTGATACGGGCACCCACTTATGCTGATCTAGAAGGTACTCCTCTTGTCTTCCCTGACAATAGGTACACCTTGACCACTCGAATGCCCCATACACCTGGTAAAGGTAGTCTCAATTACATCGACCCTTGGGAATTGAGCCAATAAATCCGCGACTGCTTGACCTTTGATTGCTGCTGGCGTAACGCACACTATATCATACTGAGATAATGTTCACAGCCAATTATCCAGTCTTCCTGAGAGTGTTGGGCGAGTAAGCAGGTAACGGATAGGGTGTGACTTGGTCATGAGGTGAATGGGATGTGCAAGAAGATAATGACGCAACCTTTGAGAAGCGTAAATGAGGGTGAGACATAACTTCTCTGAGCTTTTCTCTGGCCCCCTCAGAATCTGACTAATAACATGAATATGTTGCTCAATACCTTCCGAAGGAACTCTTTGACTGAACTTCGCTTCGAAAAGTTTGTATGGTCGAGCATCTTCAAACCAAAACTTCTATTCCTTTTCTTCCCCGGACTAAAAGGACTAGTAAAGGGGCCTTCTCTGCAGGGCTGCCTAAACGAGTACAAGGTAAGCGGCGGGTAGTTCGAATCCTAAACCAATACCTGAACTATGACTGAGAGTAGGTTGCTTCGCTTCCTGCGGGTCCTGGCTTTCTAAAGTACAAGGGTATAGGGATCTCCGTTCCGGTTCCAAGGTCTGACCCGATCTTACTTGGCTAGCTAATCCTATCTTTCAGGTATCAGGCTCAAGGTTGGAAGGAGTGATGCGCCAAAGAGTAGCGCTCGTGGAACGATCCCAATAGGCGACACTTATCTGTACCCTCCACTTGTCAGTACCAAGAACGGAAGCATTTCGGCTATACTCCTTTCGAACCATGAGTAGGCAACCCTTGCAAGTACCCGAGGTACGAGCCTAGGCCTATCCCTTTGACGATACTGATTTCGGGAAATAGTCAAGTCTTGGTTTTCCTGCTACAGTGTAGGAGGGCAAGGCGAAGCCAATCCGGAGTATAACCATTGTTGCTAACCGGACTGAAAGAACTCCTACGGTAGTTGTTTCTTTCCTTCAGCCTGTTGTAGAGCGAAGGGCGTAGTGCGAGTGTGCATGTGTGGTTGAGGAACCGAATTCTACTGGTTTTGGTACTGGTACCTGTTACCTGGCTTTCTGAGGCCAGTTTCCCACTCATGTTATTAGTCATGAAATCATGATTCAACCAATTAAGCTGGTCTTGACCTGCCATAACTTTTTGAGGGTTACTAGTCCTTTTATAAAGATGCTCATGGGTCTTACTTCTCGGGTTTGCCAGTAGGAATTACGAACCAAAGGCGGGAGGAACTCCAAAGCTCGGGACTTCAACAGCCGTATTCACAAGCCGTAGGTTCCTATCGTAGTCCTGGCTCTAAAGCGAGGAAAACAGCTGATCCGTTTAACTACCCGGAGGAATTGTCAATACCCGAGGTACGAGCCTCTATCGTAGAAAGACCAGGAAGAGTCTTCTTTAAATACGTAGCAAGAGTATGAAGATGCCTTCGGTGTCCTCAATACCTTGGAATATCGATGTGAAGAAAAGGAACTCGCCATCAATCGCGTCAAGAACGAGGAAGGAGTCATACCAGGAGGGTAGAGTACACGGTCAACAACGAGAAGAACTCATCAACTACACGACCTAACAACAGCTACTCAATAAAGATCTCCTCTCTTCTTACTCAGTAAGCAGGTCAAGAGTGAAGCGGGTAAGATAAGGAGATTAATTGTCGTTAAAGAAGAGTACCTTTGTTTGATACGACTACGATATAAATTGACTCTCCCAACGACAAAAGAATATGAGCTCTTCACGCGTGTAGACGATGAGTTCTTTGCCGAGTTCCTTGCTTAGTAAGATATTGATATGACTGATATTGGTTTGGTATTCCTTGCAATGATTGATACAGGACCAGCTATTGATTGGGGGGTTTGATACACGTGTAAGGTACACAGGTAACGGGAACAACACCAGTATACGAGATGACAAGATAAGAGGAGAAGAGAAGACAGGCAGGCATCGAGGTAGTCCTGCGCTTTCGAGTGCTAGGATTGATTCATAAACACTAAAACTTTTAGCGAAGAGAGTGAGAAAAGGTAGCTTTCTTCTTCCACCAGACCTATATATTTTTCTAAGACAGATTTATACAGAAACAGATACAGTTCTTTTTTAAAGAGATATGAGTTATCGCGGAACCGGTCAATCTCATGAGGAACTAAAGAAAGAACAGGATAGGGCATCCAAGACATCAAAGCACAAGACATCAGAGATAGGACTACTACTGAACTATAGAAGGCCCATTGGATGAAGCTTTCCTTCAATCGGTCTCAGTACCGGTCCTCAACTATGACGAAAGGGATCGAACTCATCCCTCAATATCAACACAGGACTCACAACAGCTAAGGGAGCAAGGACCGGTAGAAGCTCCTCCATGATATCGAATGTACTCTGATAGAGCCGATTTCGAGAAACTAGAGGATTGTCCTGTGATCAACGGCCATCGCGATAGGATAGTTGAATACCAAACAAAGGACAGCAAGAAAGGCATGAGGAGAGTATGAAAAGGTGTAAGCGTGATCTTTCCTACAGTCAGGTTCGACTCCTTCTCATCAGATGTGCGGGAAGTATGTCCCCGACGGTCGAGCTTTCAGTAAGAGCAGGCCGGCTAACCGAGCCAGAACAGAAGTGAGATCCTTTGCTCGGAACTAATAGGGCAGTCCCCGGGCCTGGAATTAAGACAAAGTACTAATTCAGTAAAGGGCTCTACATATCCAGCAGCCAGGGGAGATATGACCTATTCTGTTTTTGATACTGGTCTTCGTAGGTTTGGGTCTTTGTCTGATCTGAAAGTGGTGCGTTTTCTCCAAATGAAGACTTATACAAATTTAAAACAGAGATTGTGTTCAGTGCCACTATAGAAGGGAAAACGGCACCTAAAATGCCGCTTTTGCCGGAGTTTATGACAACTTTTTGATCTGATTTTGAGCCCTCTTTCACCTCGAAATTCCCCTACCCACCGCTTACCTATTACTGGTTCAGGCAACGGCAGCAGACCTTTACTTTACTCTAAACTCAGATCGCTAGTACTCCCCTCGTTTAAACGGCCTTCTGGAGAACCTTATGGAAGTCTGCTGTTAAGACGCCCGAACAAAGACGACAAACTCTTTACATTGTCCCGGTTTGAAATATCATTATTCTTTACTTTACATTGTAAAGATCGAAACAGTTAGCTGCGGTATTTCTTTGTCTTCCTGAAAAGCTGCTATTTACCGATCTAAGGTAATGTAATAAAGAAAGGAGTAAAGCCCAGAAACAAGGGCAATAAGTTCGTTCCTATTGGTCCTCGTTTAACAGCTGGTAGTTTGTCCTCTGAAGAGGTTTCCCTTCCTAAAGGGATAGAAACTTTCTTTATGAGCTACGCATAAGACGAGAGGTCAAAAACTGGTCCAAGTTAGCAAAGGACTTGATCTTTTGGGTAGTTGTCGTTAGTGGATGCCATGAGGCACTGAAGGCTAAGACCAAAGGACCCTCTGGCTATGAGGCATACTAAATTAAAATACAATCTGCCAAAGAAACGAAAAAGATACTCACTTTTGCCGCTAGAAAGAAACTAATTTATCATGGATTTGACCACTAAATGCAAGTTCAGGAATTCCTCGATAGTTCGTCTGTTGAGGGGAAGGATTGGATTGGTCAGTTGTCGGGGGATCAAATCAACGAGGGGATGAATTTGGCTGCTGGATCGAGAAAGCGCCCTACCCGATTAGTCCTGATTCAGAGTTGGTCCTTTAATTTAATATAGCTAACAAGAACGCCTCATGCTAGATACCATTAGGTGTTTGCCTCTCTTTTAGGGGCCTTACTTGCCATTTAATGAAAAGGGAGAAGAGTTCGCGCGTAATTGATCCTGGTTTGCACCTGTAAGGACGTACTTTCGCACTCTCAGGGAGACTCTTTCCTTGTCATATGACATATTATTAAGGATCCACCACTTTAACGAAGGATTGGCGCCTCTGAAAGCGGGCCAACAACCAAGAGCTTTTCGCGTACTCTTCCCAACTTTAGAAGCGAAGAGAAGAGCATGTACCGTTACGAGCTAATGACCGAGCGCGCTTTTCCACTTTTTGCAGCTATATGAGATGCAACTTTCGCAATTTCAATTATCTTCTCCGAGTTAAAAGTGACTTGCTTCATTTTGCAGCTATATGAGATGAAAAAAGCTTCTAAAGATGTAATTGAGGAAGCGAAGTTCAGTCAAAGCTAGGATCCGCTATCGGAAGTCAAACTTATCCTCTGCGTTCACTTAGGAGATTGGTTACTGCTTCCCATAGGGAGTTGTAGTAGTTTATCTTGCCAAAGAGCTCTGCCTTCCTTACCTTACTACCTGCTTTCGTTACTGTTGATTCTTCCTTTCGGGTAGGCTTGCTAGCAGGTTAGGAGTTGACAAAGTCAATGCTATGCCGGAACGGGGGGAGCGGAATTCAGTAGAGGCTCGAAGAGGGGCTTACTAAGCGAAGGGCCGAAGTCGGCTTTGCTGTCTATCCTACTATACTACCGAAGGGCGGCAGGCAAAGCTGCCATGAGATAGTGTGGTTTTCTTTGTTCGCATGGCAGAGTGAGGGATCCATCCGCCAATAGAGCTGGTTTTATTAAAGATCCGCTCATATGCTGCATGAGGGGCGGCAAAAGACGGCTTTGCCCATGAGTTAGCGATCAAGCGGAAAAGGACCTGCCTGGCTTCTTTTCTTTCTGGAGCAGACTTGCTCGTAGCTCCCTATTTCGGGGATAAAGGGTGAAAGAAAAAGAAGACGCAAGTCTTGAGGGAATAAAGAGCCACCCTTAGGTGGTTCTGCGCCAAGTGCGATCGATTGTCCTTCCTTTATAGATTGAACCATTGTCATAAGGCCTCCAATCAACCAACAAAGTGAATGTAATACTCAAAGTTGAGTTACCATACAAAAAAAATATCTAAAAAAACCCACGGGGCGGTAAGAAGAAGAGAGTGAGAGTAGGCAAAGAATGAAGACTATGACTTCACTTCGCTTCGTTTGTTGGGAAGAAGCGTTGGTAGAGTTTTTGTTTCCGGTGTAGATGTTATCAACTCGGTAAGGCGAAGAGCAAGGCCAAATCCCGGGCAGCTGTAAAAGATTAGTGTTCGGAATGTAGCCAATGGGCAAGTTTTTTTTGTATGGTAGTAGTAATATGAGTGGGTGCTTTGCCCACTCTCTATAAAAAAACTTCTTCGTCGGTCTAATCTCAATTACATCGAGCCTTTTCAGAGAACAACCTCTGTCACCTTTCTTGCTTTCATCACTTGTCATTCAGTACAGTATCTGATGGAGTCTCAAAAGATGACTTTAGGGGGCCTTTGTGGTCTTTCATCAAGGTCCCCGCAGAGAGAAAGACCCCCTAAATTCCTTTAGATCAGTTAGTGGTATCCGCAGACACCCGAAGACACAAAGCCTCGCGCCCGGGTGTCTCCTAGCGCGGATTCTCTAGCATACTACAAAGACTGATTCTCTAGCATACTACAAAGACTAGTCCACAAAGCCAGCCAATGTCTGGTTGAATACGTGATCTAAAGCAAAGAATTTAGGTGTACCTTGATCTGTAGAATTTGGCTGCTGGATCGAGAAAGCGCCCTACCCGATTAGTCCTGATTCCGATTTGGTCCTTCAATTTAATATAGCTAACAAGAACGCCTCATGCTAGATACCATTAGGTGTTTGCCTCTCTTTTAGGGGCCTTACTTGCCATTTAATGAAAAGGGAGAAGAGTTCGCGCGCAATTGATCCTGGTTTGCACCTGTAAGGACGTACTTTCGCACCCTCAGGGAGACTCTTTCCTTGTCATATGACATATTATTAAGGATCCACCACTTTAACGAAGGATTGACGCCTCTGAAAGCGGGGCCAACAACCAAGAGCTTTTCGCGTACTCTTCCCAACTTTAGAAGCGAAGAGAAGAGCATGTACCGTTACGAGCTAATGACCGAGCGCGCTTTCCCATTTTTTGCAGCTATATGAGATGCAACTTTTGCAATTTCAATTATCTTCTCCGAGTGAAAAGTGACTTGCTTCATTTTGCAGCTATATGAGATGAAAAAAGCTTCTAAAGATGTAATTGAGGAAGCGAAGTTCAGTCAAAGCTAGGATCCGCTCTCGGAAGTCAAACTTATCCTCTACGTCTGGTTCCAGTAGAGGAGAACGAAGTGAGTCTCGACTAAAGGCGGAGGGACCCCATTATAAGAGCTTTTCGCGTACTCTTCCCAACTTTAGAAGCGCAGTGAAGATTTAAATATGTTCGAAGCAAAGTGAAGTCAAAAGGTATGGTATAGCAGCCTTTCCTTTCTTTGTTAGCTCCCTGCCAAGGGCCAGTATGAAAGACAGTCTACGAGCTTACGCTCCACTTTATTAGAATTCAAAAGAACATTATAACAACAACTCAGTTGTTCAAATTCGATAACGCTTTTCTTTTCGGTATGCTGCTCTGCGAGCAGAGCGAATGAACATAAATCAACATAAATATATGAGAAGAAGCCTTTTGAATCCAATTCTACTTATTTTTCTTTTATTGTTCTTTCTCTTCTTTCCTTTGTTGTGACAAGGGGAGTGTGGTTATGATTCTCAATTTTTGACTCTCTGCAGCTGGAGTCAGGCGCCTCTTTTTCCACCATCGGCGTTGCCGCTTGTGAGTTTGATGATTCTTCTTCAGAAGAAGACCGCCCTTCCACCTCAACCTCGAACCCAACTCGTCGGACTCACACTTTACCAGATCTGGATCTTCATCTTTCTCCTATGGAAGAAGAGTCAAATTACGACCTCTATAATGAGCATCGCACAACATTGAAAAACAAAAGCAAGAGCGGTATGCGATTGAAGTTTCGAATATGAAAGATAAGAAAATCAATAAAATCTTCAATGAGATATAGATTATCATATAGAGAAGGATTTCCTGCTGCGCAGCAGTTCTTCCATACCAACTTAGCTGCCCGGCGCTGCTATTGGCATAACAACCGGTACACCGTAGGTTGGTTGCTTTCTAGCAGTTCTCCCTTTGGACAAACTATAGGCACGAAGCCTTTTGTAGTTCGGTTCATCCGGTGATTTTCTTTCTTAAAGATAAAGAACGGGGCCTCTCTTCTATTCCTAGTGCGATTATCGGGTCAAGAGAATTACGTATCGTGTAAACACCCTAACGGGAAAGCGAAGTGAAGTCATAAAACTACACTAACTTAAATGTGTAGTATATTTCTACCATTTAATATTATCATAAAACTAATATTTATTTAAACTACCGGGTCTTCATATGTTCAATGCAGCAAGATGAATATGTCAATAAAAGTATACATGTTATGTAAGTCCTGAAAAAACTTTCAGAAAGCAGACCAGTTAATATTCGCCATAAAACATTTGATATAAAACTATGGCCAATTTTTTTATTTACCACAAGAAAATAAAAAAATTGCATATGTACGAGATATCGGATTTTAATAGCACTCATACCAATTTGAATTACTTTTATTTGTGGAGAAAATAAAAACATGCGTTATCACATGAGGAGCTTCTTAAAATAACGCAAGGGATTAACTGGAAAACATGAGGAGCTTCCTAAAATCACGCAAGGGATTAACTGGAAAAAAAAAGGTAAGTGGATATATACTATTTATTAGGCGATTGTTCTTATCAGGAAACTAGTTTGATTTGAAATTGAAACAAAATATCTCTCTCTCAAAATACAATAAAAAAACCCCGACATTGAGATATACACTCGAACATATACGTAATATATACGAGCAGACTAATTCATCGGATTTTTTTCATAACATATACGTAATATATACGTAAATATATACGAGCAGACAGATTCATATACCGAACATATACAAAACATATATTGAAAATAACACCAGATCTAAGCGTCGGATGTTGGTCGGAAATCGCAGGTCGCTGGGATATTTTGCGAGAAGCCGGACAAGGCTGGTGGTCGTGCTCAGCGGAGGATGAGGCTCGTCGGGGAGGGTCAGGCGTACGGTTGCCGGGCGGCGTGAGTTTGAACTCACCGGGATTGGATGCTCTTGCGGCAGGTGGCTCGCCAAAGATGAAAGGAGAATTATTTTCTTCTCGGAAGAATAATGGCGAAGAGAGAGAAAGGAGTTACAAAAAATATGGGAACGTTTGACTTTAGGAGAGAGAAAGGAGTTACTATAAATTATTTATCAACAATTTCTCATAATACTGCAAATAAAAGATGAAATATAAATGAGATTACCTCGGTGTAATTTTCTCTAAAACTATCATCTTCAAATTATAGTAAAATCATTCGTTTTCTTCATTCAAATTCTCTCAACAATAAAAAAAAAAAAAAGAAAAAAAAAAAAATAAAGAAAAGAAACTAAAGAGATCTAAAGAAACGCACGATTCATGCTCAACGTAAACTAATTCAGTAAATGAAGTGTGGTCATTAATAAATTGCCTCTGAATTTGTCATCAGTGACCCATTGTTCATGTATCTATGAAATGCCAAAGTTTTACTCAAATAATTCTGTCATATCCTTCAATTGTTAAGAAAAAAAAAAATCATGAAAGTAAAGCCTAGACTCCATATTTCAAAAACATAAAGCATTGTAAATTTTCCTTTTCAACTGATATCAGAAAAATCCAATCTGCGATTTTTATTAATTTCAAACCAGGATATCAGTTACTATTCATGTACACCATTCATCACATTTCTGGACTTCCCCACTCACCAGGCCAGAATTCTATGATGCTATTTTTGAAGACTCCAGTGCTCTTGCATTGAAAAACTTAGTCCTGGTAAATTTTAATAATGAGCAGTACTACAGAATATTCACTTGGCATTCTCGATATCAAAACAAATGCCGGCAAAACCTTATTATATGGGCCGGGCTCCAACAGAGTCGCAACCTCCTCCATTTGCTCCGCAGCAAATTGGGATGCAAATTCAGGATGTGATCTGGCATGAAATCGTGCCTCGTCAATATACCCACAACTGGAACCCGCTGCAAGAAGAGAAAAAAGAGGTTGCTAAATTTAAGAACATACTTAAATACCACGAATATGACTTCAATCTGCTCAAAATAAAAGCACAGCACCAGCATCATTAACTACATAATGACGCTTATTAAATTTTTATGCTTGATATTAGAAATCTTTATTATATTGCCAAAGCATTTAAATGAATTTTCTCGAATATTTTTTGACATAGACAGAAACTAAGGCTACAAAAGAAATCATAGATTTTCGTTATGGCAGATAAAATTTTTACCTTGGAGATGCGATTGGATACAAATAATTGCAAAGAATACATTGTTTAATAATCAGCCTCACTCTGTCTTCAAAGACTACACTGTTTAATAGTTTCCATATCTAAATCGCAGTGAAAATATTTTCTGTTGGTAAGAACCTAAATCATATCATGCAGTTATCTGGCAAGAAAAGCAAAAGGACCTTACCCCAGAAACCTTGGGAATAACGAGCAAGTGCCTCAAACCAACTTCCCGAAAAAGCACGAGTGCTTTAGCCAACGACATGGTCTCCACAACAGTGTAAGGCGACGTGTTCGTGAAAGGATGCAAATCGAGGTACATCTCCATCTCCTCTTCCGACAACTTCACATCCTCAATTTCATCCAAACCCTTGTTCGCAAAATCATCAGCCGATAACCCTAAAAACGCATCCGAACCCAACGGCGCGGGTGTTGCGGAGAACACTTTTGCCTTCAACAAAGCCACAAGATGAGCTCTGAGAACCAAACCGTACAACTCCGGCTCGTCCACCACCGGAAACCCATTATGCCCCGTGGTCCTCAACACGTGCACTATATTACCCACTTTCTCTATCCCACGAAAAATCCAAAGCGGGCCAGTGACCACATCGCCCACCGTCAATTGCCTCATGTACGGCTCGGCGTGAGCTTCCAAATAAGGAAATCCCTTCAAACTCATAATCAAGTCGAAAATGTTCCCACTAAACACATCGGCCACCGTCTTGGAGATGAGAAGGACAATCATTATGAGAGGAAGCAACATAAGGTTATCCGTAAGTTCAAGAACAATCACGCACAAGGAGACAGTCATGCGCATGGACCCGCCCAATAAAGAGGCAGAGCCCAGGACAGCAAAAAGGCCGTGGTTGAGATTGGACCTTTGGCCCACACACATCCCCACAAAACGGCCGTAAGCGGCACCAGTGACGATGACGGGGACAAAGAGGCCCACGGGGGCCACGATCCCGTAGCTGAAGGCGCTAAGGAAGAAACAGGTGGCGAAGAATAGGAGCATTGAGGAGTGATGGAACTCGGTGTCCGTGTCCTTGCTGAAGAGGTTCTTGATGGCGTCGTCGTTTGTGTTGAACAAGAGGCTGGCGAGGTCGTTGTAGTAGCCGGGAGGGCATTGGAACTTCTTGAAGTTTCCGGAACGTCCGATCGTGGGGCACGGCTCGGAGGCATCGGGTGGGCATGGACGGCAGGAGGCTACCCAGGGAAGGCCGAATAGGAGGCAGGAAGTGATTATGGAGATCAAGCAAGCGAGTGCTATCTTGTATGCAATCCCTTTGCTGGAATGAAGGGGAAAGGGTACATAAAATAAAATATAAATTTTTCTCTCACAAGTGACATATTCATATCAGGCAGTTTGGCGCCTTAGGCTATGTTTGGTAGACAAATAAGCTAGCTTAGAGCTTATTTGGTTAGCTTATAAACTTCATGTATTTAAATAAGCTTCATTTGGTGGGACGAGCTTTTTCAAAAAGCTCGAGCTTATCCCATAAGCTTCTTTGTGTAGCTTTCTAAATAAGCTAGTTGAAATTTTTATTTCAGCTAATTTTACCAAACACTAGCTTTTCAGCTATAAGTCATAAGTTTATATATAGGTTGTAAGCTCAAAAATTACTTATCAGCTATCAGCTAGTTTTACCAAACATAGCCTTAGAATAAAAAAAATTATGAGTACGAAATGAAGAAAACTCAAACAAACTAAGATTATTACTAAGAATACAAAAGGAAACATAAAAACTTGAAAAAATAACAAGGTAAAAGAGCATTGAAAATTTGAACAAGTTAAAAAACGTAAAAACTGAAACCCTGAAAATTGAAATTTGATAAAAAAATGGAAAGAAATAAACTTGGATACCGTCGAAATACATTTCATCATATGGCACGATACAAGTTGTTTACTTTAAATATTATGTAGAGAACAGAAGCGTGGAGTGAAATAGAAGGACATACTTGTTAATCAAGTTGTAAATGTGGAGGAGCTTGTTGAGTAGAAGATTGTAGATACTTCCTAATAGACCCCCTATAACTGCGAGAACAAGAACGGGAGGAACGTCGTTGAGATGATAGGATATGTTTTCGGCTGTGACGTCATACATTATCAAGCCTCCTTTACCGAATAGTCCACATTTGCCTCTTAGACAGACATCAACGAGACCTCGAAGGACTATGGCAACGACAGCGGTTGTGAAGAAACATCTCCACAACAGAGCACTTCTCCACCTGCAGCAGGAGAGAGTATAATTGCTAAATTTCAGCAGATAAATTTCTTGAAAGAAAATGTAATCACATCATCTAAGGTGAAATTCACATTGTCGGTCACAGTCAGGACGCAGGATGAACATTATTTAGAATGATATATACATATATAATATGTGATAAATAATATATATTATATAATATATGTATAATTCAAATATATTTACATTTTACATAAAAAAAAAATGCCTTGAAAATAATTTATTTTTCCCAATTTGATACAAAACTTGTGGTATACTTCAAAGCTAATGTATAGTATATTTTTTTTTAAGTTTGCAATTACACCTCACTCATAATAGATAAAATATTTCGCACTGTAATTTTAATTACTTTAAGCTTCTTATGACTCTTAACATATGTTGGGGTATATAAATTCACTTAAATATATTTCTGTTTTGAAAATTAAATACTTCTTGAATTTTAGTTTTTTCTCATAGAAATGGCATCTGGGGTTTTTATATAATTAAATCCTCTTAAGTTTCTGTTTCTTTCTTTCATAAGAAAAATGGCTATTGACAACCCAAATATCCTTATGTGGTGTACAAGAGAATGTTAAAAATAAATTGTTCAGAAATTATGAAAAAGAAATTGAGTACTCTTGGATATTGACTAATTCTTTTGATACAGTGGGAACCTTCTTCCACTTCCAAGTCTGTTCAGGTAATCATGTCATTGTATGTACATTTCTAATACGATTACCTCATCTTCTATTTTTATTTTTTTCTCCAATGCTGTTGAAAACAGAATCCACAAAATGTGAAAGAGAGAGAGAGAAAGAGAGAGAGAGAGAGAGAGAGAGAGAGAGAGAGAGAGAGGGGAAGTTGAGTAATACCAAGATGCCATTTCTTCAAGAGCAAATAACACCCCACCAACGGGGGCTCGAAAGGCAGCAGCTATTCCTGCAGCAGATCCGCATGTGACAAGATCTCGTCTATCCTTATCATTATTAAATACCTCTAACCACTTCCATCTCAATCTCAACTTCTTTGACCCACCCTGACCCATTATTGCAGCTATGCAAGCACCTGTATGAACCATTGGCCCTGCCTTTCCAATATTAAGAGATGACGATACGGCTAATATGCTTCCAGCTATCTGCATATCATTTATTTCAATTACAACTTCAGAATCTACAATATTATAAAAACAAACAGCAATCAATTTTTTCCCCATTAATGTCATAAGATTTTTCCTCCACAATGAATGGAGAGGGAGAAAGTAATCCACCAGAGATTGCACCATCACTCACAAAACAAAATAAAAGATGAAAATCAGTTATTTGTATATTCACTTTATGCTGATGTTACTAATTCCTAAAGTTTTAATCGAGGTTATCAGTCACAGCTTTTCCTTCATCCAAATTTTTACCCTGCACCCGTGTATCGAACATAATGCAGTCAGTGATGCTTAATAGAGAAATTACATATCACATAATCTTCAGCTAAACACAGTAATTACTGAAAATAAATAAATATATAATTATTTACATATAAATACATAAATGCAAATATCCAAATTACCTTGACTAGCAAAGTTCGGAACGAAAATATTGCAGGTGCATCTACACCATTCAGGTAAGCCTTAACCTCTGGTATACCTGAACCAGCAGCCTCAGGCGCTATAAATGCGGTTATCAAACTAGCAAGCAATGTGAGGGAAAGATTTGAAGAAGCAAATACGAAAAAGGCCACAGCAAACCTGTCCAGAAAGATATAAACCTTAATAAATATGTGAAATTGGGAATTGTGCAAGCAAACAGACACACTGGAGCATTAGTGAATGTGGGGAGATAAAAAGAGCAATAAAAATTATGCATTGAGTAAATTTGTAATGCACCTGTATCCTAGTAAAATGAAGTAAATCCCATATCCCAACCAAAAATGAAAAGACCTTTTTGTTTTGTTTTAGTTGAATTGAAAAGCTGGAAGCATTTGCAATTGAAAAAAAGGTATATGTGCAGAGGAATGAGAACCTTAAAGATCACACTGTCTTACTTTCTTGCCAACATCATATTGGAGGTGATAACAAATTTCAAGCCAGCTATATTCTCCACAGCAAGGTTGTTGAAAAACCCAATGAGGCTCATCATAAGCCCAATAAAAAAACAAAGTATCCATTTCATAAATATATACTGATATATCTCTGCCTTGCCCCTACTCCGCCAGTCTTGCTTGTAAAAATCATTCTCAACAATCCTGCATGTGAGGAGGTACACTTCACTTAGAATGACAACCATTGTCAGAATAGTTAAATACACAAAAAGTCAAAAGTTAAACTCAAACACTCTCTCCATTGTATAAATAGCTAAGAAAAACAACTGAAGGCCAGCAGCAATTTCATTACCGCATTAATTACCCACCCAAAAAAAAAAAAGGAAGAACGAACAATTAGTAGTTAATTTTAGCGCACACATACGGATTGAAGTTGCCAAGAAAAACAAAAATGGTTGGTACAACTTCATTAAAGAATCCGTAGCATCTCCCATGTGTTGATTATAACTCTTCAAATACATTATTCCACAATTGTTGAGAACTTTCAATCATGAAAACCATTTACCTTAATGTAATTTTAAAGACATCATAACAAACACCAGAAAATAATATGAACAATAATGAATAGCGCGAGTTGTCCATACTCATAGTCGAGACTCTCAATGGGACAGGGATTGGAGCCGACAATTGCGACTTGGGAAGTGGTATTTCGGCGGAGAAGGAGCGGCTCGCTTAGCACCGCCGCACCCGCCTCCTCATCAACCGCCGCCGCCGCCGCCAATCCATTAACGTGGTCCATTAGATACACAAGAACATAACAGAGAGAGTTGTATTATTCGTGAATTCCTATGTTGTGTATGAATGATGAATGGGCACAGTGATTCCATTGGGAAGAACAGTTAGTGAGATATTATTATAGGGGGAACTTGATAACGATCCAAACGCCACAAAACAAATCTATGTCAAATTAATTAAATTAAAGAGTGAGAAAAATATGGAGAAAATAAAAGAAAAGGAAGGACGTCTTTTCTTTTGACATGAAAACTAGATTTTGACGCTATCCATGTGCGAATCAAATATTGCTAACGGGATTTCAGTGTGGTTTATGGATTTTTTAATTTTAACCAAATTCTTATATCTGAAATAAAATATAGTTTAGGATAAAGGCTGATTCCGAGTTTATCTAGTTTTGGATTTTTATTCATTTTAGTACTCTTAAAACTATAAAACACTTGAAAGAGTTCTAAATTACAAATATTTTTAACAAAAATGGTGGATTAGATACGTATTTGATTTGGTTTTGACTTTTTTTTTTTTGTTAATCATAATTAATTTTAAGAAAGGTAGTGTAGTAGAATTTTGAGTTTATATAAAAATAATATTTAAAATAAAATAATTAAAATCGATTTGATGTGAAAGTAGGAGAGAGATAATGTGGAGTGATGGTTAGTTAAAATTATATGAGCGAATGAATAGTGAATTAAAGTTTATATAATGTGTAAGAATAATTTAATTGTATTATTTAATGGTGAATTAAAGTTTATAGTGTAATAATAATTGATTGATATTATTTAACTATATTGATAATATTGTGATGTTGAGGTTAAAATTAAGTTTAAAAAAGTAATTAAATTAAAAATGATTGATTTATTTGGGATGAATTTATATCCAATCACACCCATGGAGTCTATGGACGACTTTCTTATTGAGCCTATATTTATAATAGATTTTTTTTTTTCAAATAGATTCGTTATTCATATTCATAAAATGTGAATTTTAATACGAATAAAAATAATATTGTTTAATCAAAATTTGTACCAATTTGAATATATGCATATTCAATTCAAAGCATCATGTTATCTAAAACAATATCTTCTTAGGATTATCGAATATTTAGTTCTTCAAGAATAATTACATAAAATTTATTGTATAATATATATATATATATATATATAGATATAAATATATTATATTTGATATATTCGTAATTGGGCGGCGACCTTACGCGGCTGCGTGCGAGGCGAACGTCGCCAAGCTTCCACTAGTCGCGTCGTCGAGGTCTCCTGAAATCAAGGTCGTCCGGGTTCGTCCGCAATCAACACAATCAAATACAAAAATTGATCCTAGACCCGCGGATAGGTTTACATGTCTATCTACGAAAACAGTAAATCTATACGGTGTCCCATCGTGCGAATAAACTATTACAAGCATTCACAACCCAAAACTGCTCGACATATCCGAGGCTTTAAAAACATGCAAGAATTGAACAAGCAAGCATTGAAGGCCATAATAATATAAACAAATAATCTTACAAAACTGAGTTAAGCAAAATTCTACATATATGGATCTGCTCGTACACACATTAGTCACACAAGANTTTCCAAACGATAGAAGATCTTATATATCACACAAACAAACAAGAACAATACAAATAACGACCAAAGCAGCCAAAGTCGGCGGCCAATGGCCGAATTGAGAGGACATCCCAAAGGGAGCCTAAAGACCACAACTCACCCGCAGAAAGAAAAAATACTAACCTCCCACAAGTGGAGAACCAAAACTCCCAAAGGGAGAACAACAACTCCCAAAAAGGAGAACAAAAGCACACCCTACAACACAGAAAAAGCACAAAACACAACATTGCAACTAACAAACACTAACACTATACTAGACTAAAGCCCTCCTCCACGGCAGGCTGAAAGCACCACACCCACACCACTCGAACCAAGCCCAGTCGGAATATCCACCGAGAAAGGTTACGGAAAGCAGCATACACGGCCACAAGAACGACACGAACGTCAAAAGACTCGCACCGGACCGTCAAATCCATCCTCTCTACGGAGGCTACACTGCCGGGCCAACACCAGGAGCGTGCTACTCTCAGCCCCCACACGATCCGGCGAGCTCGCCACCACCGCCCTCGTCGGAGACCCTGCTCTCCACGCACCACGGAGAAGCAGGAAAAGGGGATCGAGACCACCGCCAACCTCAGCCCCTTCGCCGCAGCACGGCAAAGACACCGACCGCAGATCCACCACCAGCACGAAAGCCCACCTTACCCCAGACCGCCATGGCCAACCGCAACGGCAAAGGCGCCACGCCATCCGAGAAGAGCGAAATCCGGCTATGGAGGAGCCACATACCTGGTGTCGGTCTTATAGCGAAGGTATGGCGCCTTCGCCGGAAGGAGGCGCCGTGGATCTGAAAGAGGGCCGAGGGTTTTGCGTTGATTTGGGGAAAAAAATTTAGAGAGAGAAAAAGGGGATTTTGTAAAGGCACCGTGGATCTAGTCACACAAGACTTAAAAATGCGAGCTTGGCACAAAATCGAACTAAGCCAAGTGCACTAATACCACTTGTTGGGGCTCGTTAAGAACATCGAGATTATGCAAGTCCTTGACTATCTACGAATTAACCCTAAGTGCAGCGGATCTTGAGGTTAGGGTTCAATGCCTAGTGTTTAAAAAATCGCAGACTCTGTAAAAACATACACAACCCATGGGAGTCGGACAAACGGTTTTATGTTAATTTTCTCACCTCATCGTCCTCCTCAGCTTTAGTCATGTTCGTCTCGTCATTTTTCGTCCCATCGCGATCGCCTCGTGGTGCCTCCCGGTGTTCGAACCGCGTCTCGCATCGCCTAGAGGTTGTTAGACTCCTATCGGACTACACCGAGACTGTTGGAGGTCGTCTGGGCTTGTTGCGGCTCGTCTGGTGTGTGGACAACACATCTAAGCTCTCGGGTGCGCTCTGGTGGTCGAGCGTTGTTGGGTCTCGCACGTGGGTATGCTCTACTGCTCGCTTGGGGTACCTGGCCGACGTAGCTAGTCGCCTACGTCTACTAGTGCTGGCCGCGGGTCGCCAGTCCTTGCTGGGTCGAGCGTCATGCTGTGTCGCGCAACAAAGTCGTTGGGGATGTCGACGTACACGCGCATAACGCACGACGCCAGCCCGTCACCTGACAACGTCGCGCAGGTGCTGCGCATGTTGCCCATCTGCGGGCGACGTCGGGGATGTTGCGCCTAGGCGAGATTCTCACGCGGGTGGCGCGGTGCCTGCGAGAAACTTGCACGTTGGCCGCGTTTGCGTCCACTACCTACGCGTGGCTGGGGCCTACGTGGGATTTCGGCCAACCCGCGGCGGGCTGCACCTGGCCAGTCGCTGGTGTCAGCTCCTGTGCACGGCTGCGGCCAGTCTACTACCGTTGCCCGTCCATCGTCGATCATATGTTCCCAAATTTGAACGACACATCGTTGCAGGTCACTGGTCGTCGTGGGCTGATCGCCGGCGGCTAATTCAAATCTCTGGATATATATATACATATAAATATATTGTGTTTTGTTTGTCTCAGTTTACCTCGAATCTTCTGTTGTATCACCCGAAACCTTCTTTGTACGTCTTGTACAATCTCGAAGATATCTCGATTGGGATTCCTAAGAGAGTTGGGCGATATTTTATGCGTGTTATTAGCCTATCTCAAATCCCAAGAGATGCAGTATATTTAGAGGCTGCATCAGGGACCCTAAAGAAGTGTTAAATATGGGTTTCCTCAAACTTGAATAATATTTCATTCCATTAACAATTATTATTGCACTCCTTATTTTGCTCCCAAATTACATTTTAGGCTCCAATACCCGATTTAGTTTCCCGTGTTTAAGATATAATGTCTGTCAATTAATTTAATTACTGACAATATAATTAATTGACTTCTTGAACTGGGACTAGTACTACTCAAATTTTTATTTATGTCAGAATAAATTGAACGTCAGGTTTAACATAATAATCCTTCTTGGGCACATCTGTGGGACATCATCAAACTAACGCACACAGTGACCGTAAATAGTTTGAACAACGCACCATAGACACATCACTACTTCCCAAAACACGTCAGACTATTGATCCAACAGAATGGATCTTACTTTTTAGTATCAAAGCAGTAGCTACTGAGTGTATGTGCTTGTTTATTATTTTACGGGTTATGAGTACGCAGTAATTAATTGAGGTCTAGTTTATTTACATAGCCAGTATAAAATAAACTTACTCTTCGCGGGTTCCGTTCAATACACACAAAGGGTACTAGTGTAATCAATCAAGTTAGACTGCACAATAAACATTACAATCGTTCGCGATGAGTTGTTCAAATCCATCTAGATTGTGCACCACGGTTTATGTTTTACAAGTAACCAATAATATGATATTTTGTCCATCCGTAATGAACCACATTATCTAAATGTAAAACATTAAAA